GCGCTCATCCTTTCCGAATATGCGTCAGGCTGCATCAGTCACAAATTGGGATTCCCGGAATAAAGCCTGTTCCAGGTACCGTGCAACAGGCGCAGGATATGAGGAATATCGATGTATTCGGAATCACTGTACTGCACTAAAAATATGCAAGAGAACCAGATTCGAGGAACGATTAGCAGCGGATTCAGTACAAGCACCAAAGCGATTGTATGCAACCTCAGGCGAAGAATCAGAGCAACGCCTGGTCTCCCGACTCTCGCCAAAGATGGGGCACTAGCCGAAAAAGATGATGACAAAGCGGAGATGCTGGCATCACATTATGCCTCAGTGTACACCCCAGCCTCCAGCACACTGGCACATCTACTGGACACTGACACTGCGCTGAACTGGGCCCCATTTACCATCGGAGAGGTGGCTCTGGATCTGCGTCGACTAAAGGTTCACCAGTCGCCTGGACCTGATGGTGTGCATCCGCTGATCCTGAAGGAGCTGGGAGATGAATTTGCAGCGCCACTATGCAACCTGTTCAATTTGTCATTCACTCAAGGGCGTTTACCACGGCAGTGGAAGGACGCTTTAATTGTTCCACTGCCCAAAGTTGGGGATAGGAGTGACCCTGGGAACTACTGACCAGTCAGCCGTACTAGCGTTGTGGGTAAAGTAATGGAGTGACTGTCCAACCTGGTGTGGTCATGCGGAATTGGCTGCGAGACTTCCTCATCGATCGGAAATTCTGCGTCCGTGTCGGCAAATCTCTCTCTGCGTAGTATTCCGCTCCCAGTGGGGTCCCCCAAGTCTCGGTTCTTGGTCTATTGCTCTTTGTGACCTGCCTGGTCAACTGTGCAGTCCATCCTTCATGTTTGCGGATGACATTAAAACTGGCGTACAATCAAGTATCCGAATGATCGAAGTTCTCTTCAAGCGGATTTGAGCAACCTGGCTCAGTGGGCAGATACCTGGGCTCTTCCAGTCAACACAGCAAAGTGTGCTCACCTGCACCTGGGAAGTGCTGACTTAGAGGTAGTCTACAACTTCCAGGGAACCACATTGTGCAGAACATCGTGGGAACGAGACCTGGGTGTTATGGTTATGTTATCACTAAAGACCCGAGAAAACACCGATCAGGTCTGTGCTAGCGCATGGAGCATTCTGGGGCCTATTCCGCGGTCTTTCAACCAGTTCACGATGGACGCTTTCAGGCTGGTGTACGCTTCCCATTTCAGACCAAGACTTGAGTATGGTGGAGCGGCGACATACCCCTGCACGGCCGGTGAACTAGCTAAGTTGGAGCGTGTACAACGTGCTGCCACTAGACTCGTTGTTGAACTACGCGGGACCAGCTTTGAAGGTCGTCTACAGGCTACTGGTCTGTTCCCAATTGCGTATCGACGCCTCAGGGGAGATCTCATCTGCCTGAGGAAGATCCTGAGAGGTGATATGGGTCCAGAGCTGCAACAGTACTTCCCTTTACGGACAGAGCACCGCACGCGGGAGCACTCTCACGTTGCGGAAACTTCAGTCAGTTGGTTTTCCGTTAGTCTACCGACTCTCGCGTGGGTCAACAACACTCTGGAATTCCCTTTCAGCGATTTTAGTGGAAGAAAAGACAGACGCTGCTTTCAAACGGCGTCTGGATGAGCACCTGAAGGGGCTATGGAGGAACGAACACTTGTGATCGGACCTTCGACCCAGTGGTGATGGGGCTAACACGGGAACCCTGCCCTCTGCCCTCAATCCTGAAGACCTTTTGGCACCATTGGATTTGAATGAAAAATAAAGCCAGATTATTCATTTGCCGTAATATTCATCTGTCCTAATTCAGCATAAAAAGGGCTGTTGGTTCCATTCGTCGAGCATTTTTCTGTGCCAAACACCTGATCAGGCATATAGACGAAAATGTTCAAATAAAGCTGACCGTGTTTTTGTAATCTATGGTTAAGAAATTCACTGTGCAATCTTTCTGGTGAAGATGAATGTAGGTTGTCGGTGTGGTCTTATAACGTACGTCCTTCAAATGCGTAGGCTTTATTCGAGCGGGATTTCGAGTCTCACAGGAGCTTTCGTTCTTTGCACAATACAAACTTTCAGATGAAGATTAATCCCAAAGGTGAAATTCGTCGTGTATATAGCATGTGAAGCGTGAATTGAAAAACTAGGAAGCACTGAACAGCTGTGACCTGCAACAAGCTCGCAAAGATGGGTTATGCTGTATCGTGTGAATGGAAAATGAAAAGCGGTCTGATCAGCTTCCCGAATGGGTAGCGTGCATGCGTCCTGCCCGTAAGGTCCCGGGTTCGATCCCCAGTTGCGTCCATGGATTCGCACTGCTGATGAGACCCAACCAGGTCGAAACAGCTGTCCAGTGCTTCCTAGGTTTTCAATTCACGCTTCATTTGCTATATACACGATGAATTTCGCCTCTGAAATTAGATCAAATCCTCCATTAATCACATGAAGATTAATTCGTTGGTTTCGTGTTTACAGTGGGATTGTGAAAACCTAGACTGCAGCCAATTGTTTCAAACGTCAGCCCTTTATATAAAAACAAAGAATTTGAATGAGACCATCCCGGCTACTGGTGACGGCAAGGGGTGGGGATGCTTTCGACTTATTAAACAATGAATTTGGAAAATGCGATACAGTGCCGCGGATCGACTCGCTAGGTTCACAATATTAGCAGCAGAAGAGAAATGAGAGATTGATTGCATTGCGTTTGAAATTAGCAGTGTTAGAAGAGATTTTACAGTGACCACTAATACATAAATGCTTGAATGTCATATATACGTAACAACGAATCTGTGAGCAGGCATGGTGCGAACGAGACAGCAGTGAAGAAGGCTAGGATGGGGTTTGGGTGTAAAAGAATGCTTCTGCACGAATTGTGTATTGAAACCGTCAATTGTGGGCAATTGGAAATACTTTAGCTCCTGGACACCTGGATAAATAACTGAAGCACCAAGTTCGTGGATAAACGAGATCACGCAGTTTTAGTTTTGTTGTGTCACACGCTCTAGTCCAGAAATTTGACGCCACCAAGCTTTGCCAACGTTTCATGCGATTACTGAAACAATTTTTTTATCACACACCCTTGGTGTGATAAACAGCAGATGGGGCGAACCCCACTACTAAACAATGAAATATTTTCCATAATTCTTCAGACTACTAATAATCATCTTAAGAGGAATCCTGTTTGTATCTGGGTGAATTTAGTTCTTGAAACCTCTGCCTCAGTCAGATGTACCATTCATACGCGTAAGTTAATACATAGTTAAATGTGATCACTCTGGACGTGCGTTTGAACACAATGATCCGGACGATTGGACCCATGTTTGGGTTAGATCTGAAGGTATCAAGAAACCTCTGCAATTATCTTGCGATGTCCCGTCATGAATCTCAATTATTTGTCGGTTATCTCAATAACTAAAGGGATAGTACTTCTCTGGAGTGATTAGAACCTACTTCTCTCGTTTGCGGTTCTTCCTTCTTACCTACACATCTTTCATCTTCATCTTCTTTCCCGCCCCTTACGATGACGCTCTGAGGACTGGACTCCGAGTTCGACCCTACTCACAGACGCCACTGCTAGGACTAGCACAACCGTTCGTTTAACATTTGACTATATCGAATTGCTAGGTTGGAACCATAGTCCCGGGAGTTTTCCACCATTTTTTTCGTTGACCTGTTAATAATGTTTAAAACTCACGAAAAAGTTCAAAACCAAAAGACGGAAACACCAAAAACGCGCTTTTTCCTGAAGTTCTTTTCATATTGTTTACGCTCAAAAGAGGCCTTTGTTTTTACATCTTTTTAGATGAAACCTGTGGTAAGAATGACAACACCAGGTCACATCATTGCCGGTGAATCGTCTCTCTCTCTACCTTTCATAACTGACCTGCCTCTCGAATCCCAATCCGATCGAAACCACGTGGAACTTCGCGTGCAGAAGAACATAATAAATGGATAATTCAAACCTCTCGAACAGATAGGGAGAGTTCGAAGGATGTGAACCACTAGACCGCAACCGGGGTGTGATCACTGGGATGCCCTTGACAATTATTAGGGCTATTTACTGAGAAATTATTCAAGGTAGTATCCCATGAGTGACTAATTCATTATAAACAGTTCCCTCGAAGTTTCAGGGTTTACAGTTTAGTATAAAACGGCGATTATCATGGCAGTAATTTTATGACCAACGATCGGAAGAATTTTATATTCCGTGAGTGTAGCAAAAAAGCGTGCTGGGTTTTGACAATAAAAAAAATGATATCTTCCGTAACAATGACTGACCTAAAAAGTACTTCGCACCCCCGGATCACCTACAAACAGTGAGATTGACATCGAAATTGTTTTGGTCCTGATGAAGATCTCGAGGTTTTCTTTAGATGCTCACAAATGATTATATAAATCACTTGTTGAGATGAAGGAAGATTATTGAGACGGTAATGATGGTATCTGATGCATTATACAACGCTTCAATAGACGGAATATTGTGTTCATCAGTAGGTAAAAATAATCACTGTGTGACAAATCCATTCAGCGAGAATTCGTACATCCCGGAGAAGAAATTCTACCACCCGAGAGATTACTACATATGATGACCTTTTGTCATCGTTAAATTCTGAGGCGATCATCCGAATTAAAAAATGTAAAAATGTGCTTTCAACTGCTTTATGAACAAAATTTTTCCGGTGTGTGGAATGGTGGGGAAATCTTTCATCAGATGAATCACACGCAAAGCTCATCACACACAAAAAAATAAGTGGTGAATAAGAATGAAGTTAGGCGAATAAATCTCCGCATAAGGAAGTGTTTTTCGGTCAAATACAAAGTCAAATGAATGGTCACACAAAAGTTCAATGATGTTCATGATGTCGTCCTTCATGCGAAAGACGTTGGGTAGGAGAATACTGAATAGCAATGGAGATAGTCACCCCATTCCTTCCCTTTTTGTGAAATCTTCACGAGAAAACGGTCAACGCTCGAAAGAGCACAGAATGTGTTTAATACACGGATGTGAATCGGGCCAGAGATGAATGCACACATAATTGACCGCCTGGACCAGGGTGAAGTTGGGCAAGCGAGCCAAAAGTGCTGGCACAAACGAAACAACCAATTGCNCCGGTGTTGGCATTTGACGGTTGTGATGCGCTGGAAAACCGCTGCAGGGGTTCGAATGGTAGTTGCAATCCGTCCGAATCGCGACCGAGCCAAGAGGACAAAAGACCTCCGATGATGTTGACCAGATTCAGTATTCTGTTTTGAAGGGGTGAGATGGCAGGTTTGCTTCAGACCACACACCACTAGTACACCGAAAACCTATGAAACTCAATTAACGCGTTTCGATAATGAAACAAATCCGCATAGGTAATCTAGAGGATAGACTACGAGGGAGAGATGTCAATGGTTTTGCAATACAACACCGATGTTTGGATAATTATAATCGGAAACCAAAATCACATTTTCAACCAACAAACACTTAGGTGACTTGAACACGTGTAACACATAATCCTGAATGGGCTTTATGAACAGACGACACTCGCCATGAAAGGTGGTGGCTAGATGACAATCGGGGATGGTTGATTTGATTAGCTGAAGAATAATATAAACGTGTGAGACACCCGAATAATTCATACGAATGAGGCTCAACAGGTTCGTCTAATTTATAAAAAAAGATTTCGATTGCTGAACACCAGCATAACTCCATTCGTTCCTTTCCATTTACTGCACCATGTTACACGCAATTCGTATTACCGAGAACCTTGTTCATCAGATACTGTAACTTTAGCAAGGTTATAATAAAGCAAACCAAACTAAAGTTGGAAAAGTGGATTTGGAGAAAGCGTATGGGTTACTTAAACAACTCGACTGAAGGAAATCAGAGACACAATCATCCTGAAGTGATAAGGAACTCGTTGTAAGCTATCTTTTTGGCATACCTGTGTTTCTATCGTCGAATCCCAGTGAAAACCAACTTAAGTGTTGATTTTTCGAAGCTTTTGCTTTAATTTCGAATGGCTTTGACCTATGTAAGCAATAGTATTGTTCCACTACTGTATTGATGGGCGACTGACGATACCGTTGGTCCCTATTGACAGGTCGTTTCATGACCAGCCCGAACAGACAGTTACCCGCACGGTTGGGATGAGAAGAGCAAGAATCGAAGGAAGAACAATTACACTGTTTAGGCAGATTTCTGGGATATATTTTCTTGTGAGTCAGCTGTGAAAAAGTATCAGTAACGTCGATCGGTTACAAACCCACCATACGAGTCGTCCACGCCCCCATGTACCAAATGCTCTAACCAAAAAGGTAGACTTAACGGTTTTCCCAGTCGAAGAAATTATCCATGGTGGACTCAAGGGACAATAAGTTACGGTGGTTAGTCTATATGGTACTTAACGTGCCCATACGCCCCTGTAATTCGGGTGCAGGGAGCATAGCTGTCGTAGTGGCTTCCTTAATCAGCTATAAGCGATGTCCATGCGTGTGTTCGAATCCCTCGAAGGTTACTGATACTATTATAAATAGCATACCTGATACCAATGGTTTATCTCTTATAACTCAGCATGCCTTCATTGTTTGCACAAGGCACTGAATCTTGGAATTTACGGATAGACCGGGAATAAGATACATATTTTCAGCTCACATGGGAAACTCTTTTCCGATTATGAAGTATTATTATTGATATTCTTTATTTTTTTCAAAGGGGTTAGAAAATGGAAAAGCCAGTTGGTGCCAACCCTAAGAGTACGGCGAAATCATTCTTTTCTAGGGCTTATCCAATAATCCTCAAAATCATCGGTGGGTAGTTGAATAACTATATGTTCACAAGGCTGTTTAGTGCATTCTGACATCACAAGAATCACAGTAACACTACCGAGTAGAAAAAAAAAGAACGTACCGGACAGCATATTCTGAATTCTTGTTATCCGACTCCACCGTTGCTTTCCATGGTGTCAACAACTTTCGAACATCAGCCAAGACGTTCAGTAGTTGTTTCACTAGAGACGCGACAGCACAGCGTGTTTTGGATGCTGGGTCTGAGGACTGCACACTTTTCCAAGCAGGATGATAGGTACAACAATCTGCACAGCCATTTGCAATAGTGGAGTTTTTCATTTCAAAAGTGTGGGCAACGAAGCTTATGGAAAGCATTAGTCCGCTAAGTTTCACCGGATTTTCTAGAGTGAAGGACCTGTCGAAAGATGACGGAGACATGAATTCATATAGGTAACGAGGAAAAAAACAGTATGATTTGTTTATTTACGAACGGGTGGCCACCTACTTCCAATCCAAGGTGTTCAGCCAATGCATCATATCAGCGAGCAGTATCTGTGGTCCGTCCGCGGTCAAATTGGACCGACCAAAACGATGAGACCGGGAAGTGGCCAAATAAAAGAGTGGAAGTAGACTAGCCTCACGCAGACAACCGTAGGTGAAGGTATTGGAGACTAGGAATGCCTCGTTCGAATGTCGACTCAGAGCATATATGAATATATTGTTCACACTTTCAAATCGAGCAGCAAATGACATCCCGTTTGGTGCTAGAAATGATGGGGCGAGGGAGAATCTAGGTTATTTCTCAGTCAAAAATGATGTCGAGTAATATGACGTCATTCAAAATAACTCAATAAGGAAATTTATTGAACTTACGTTGTTAGTCAGATTAAATTAATGTTTCAATGGTGAA